GAATGAATGAAAACCCAAAATCTCTGTAAATGTTCATTAAAACTAATAAAATTTAATAATAATAAAAAAGGGGGGGTGGGGCAAGATGTTATGTTTATGAAGTCTGGAACATGGATTTGAACCACGGATCTGTGCTGCCAACTCAAAGGTTCAAATCCACTAGCTGCTCTGCGGGAGAAAGACAGGCAATTTTTCCCCACGCGATTTACAGCCTCTAAAGTTATGAGTCAGTTCCAATCTGGACAGCACATAACATTAACATTACAGTTTAGGACAAATTAGGTTTTGAATTTTTATAAATTTGTACCTATATCTTTTTCTTATTATTATTATTATTAATTTTAATAAACATTTACAGAGGTTTTAGATTTCCATTCCTATATCTTTTAAGACTCAAAAAACCCTAAAAGAGCAAAGAAGTATGTTTACAGTATTCACTGAGACTCATTTGCAGTTAGAAACTGTAAATCTTGATCCTTTCAAACGTGTCTTTGCAGAAGGCATTTAGGAAAGCTGCTCCTATTTTCTACATCATTTTTTCTCAGGTTCTATATTAGTCATGCACAAAGATGACTCTCAAGCTTCAGGGTCGAAATCTGTTTCAAAGAAGCCCTGACAGGCTCACACACAGGGGTAGGTTCAGAACGAAGGAGCTGATGCTATGTACACAATCTTCAGAGAGCTCAGCTGTGGAGCCTAACTTACTGGTGTTGATGTTTTCTGTATACACAGACGAGTACGAGGCAGAAAAGCCCCGGTAGGAGTTGGCATAATCTGTGGATAACACGACAGTCAAGGAGTCGGAAGATGATTCAAAGCTGGGCTTCGTGCGGCCACAGACTTGTCCAATCAGGCCAGAGTCCGTCGAGGGGCCATCGTAGACGGCAACAAAATCAAATCTGCAGTGTTCATCTATTTCTAGGCTGGAGAATTATGGTCTTTGGTCAAAAAGCTTTTCAAATCAATCCAGACTCTGTTTTCTATAATCCCAATACTCCCACATGGCGAAACCATGATGTTTCTATGGGCCTAGTGGTTAGGATTTGGGGCTCTCACCAAACAGTGGGGTTTCTAGGGTTCACACCACTCTATGAACCTCCCACGACACTAGACAGTACAGAACCTTAGAAATGTTTAGTATCACTTTTAATCATAGAATAATACGCAATGGAGCCATAAATTGTTTAAATGTCATCATTCTTAGAGTATAAAAATATTAACAGCAAAATCATTTTGTTAAATCTCTCATCACTGAACTACATTATTGGCTATACCATTATAAAGCACCAAACTGAAGCCTTTTGATTTTTTTTTTCTCTCTCTCTTTCCTTTTTCTTTAATACTACTTTATTCTTAAAGTTCCTGATGCAGGTTCACAAATGTTACCACAATACTATCCCTGAAACACCAGGAAATTTGACCAGTGAGTGTAAAGACACCAGCAGCAATGACAACAGCATGTGTTGTTAGACAAAATCATGTGATTCAAAGCACTGTTTTAAAAGCAATGGCTCTAGCCAGAGGCACTGGAAGGTTCAGAGTAAAGTAGGACAGAGTTTTAGTTTTGTGGGCATGTCGGTATAGGTATGTAAGCTGAGCTTAAAAAACTATTTCCTTGTTTAATTGCAGAAATATTGTGATTAAAAAAACAAATGTCTGCTGAAACACTGCACGGCAATTTCATAGTCGCTTTGGTGCCAACTGCTGCTTTCCACATCTTCTGTGCCCACTTAGTGAGGCCACTGATCCCAAATTAAGTGATTAAGGATTTTTTTTATATATAATGGTAGCTCAGGTATATAATAATAAGCCTAGGGCTCTCCCTATCTCAGAAATGTCCTCAGAATCTGCAGAGAAAGAGGCAACTTAGTCTAATGTGATATGGGACAAAGATGACCAATTTCCTCCCATAAGATTTACTGCCTCTGAAAACCTGCTGAAGGGTCAGTCACAACCCGAGGGCACATAACAACACATCCAGTGGGACAGTATCACTGATTGTTTCCTCTACAGACCGGCGCCTTTCAAAACGCTCCACTAAGTAGAAGGCACAGCAGCTGGGCCAAACACACGCCCTTCAACAACAGAGCTGGTGTGTACTTACAAAATCTCTTTGAAGTTCAATTTTATCTTGTAACCTTTCTCCACTTGTATGTGCCACACGCAGTAGGCCAGTTCAGGATGCGACTGGGGATAGTTGGGGCTAGTGAAGGAGCCCTCCAAGCTGTCCAGGTAACCCCCGCAGTTTGGTATAACTGAATGGAGAGTGAGAGAGCAAGAACGTAAACCAAGACAAAGACTTCTTTGAGTTCTGTCTTGTGAATAGAGCTTAACACGTGTCCTCTTTAAGGGGCACCCCACCTCCCTCTCCTCACAGAGAGACGGCGTGAGGTTTCCAGTGGTCACGTTCTGTCCTGGCAGTGAGCAAGCCTGCCTGTGGCTACCAGACGCTACAAGTCAGGTCAAATGCGGTCCAATAACCTCTGTTTGTTGGGAACCTGCCATCTGAGGGGCTTCCTCATTCTGCGGCAGCCTTCCTTCTCAGTCCTTTTGGAAATTGCCAGGGTTCCCCAGGGCCTTGACCTTCTGTTCCCATCTGTCTTTTCTTATCCGTCTGTCTCTTCCAACAGGAATTATTCCTCCCCATTCACGCCTCTTCTCCCTCTTGAAGTCATGCACATTGTTCAAAGCCCAGCCAGGCACACCCTGAGCAGGCCTGCCCTGGTTCTTCCCTTCCACAGCTGGAAGTCACAAACTCCCGGGCAAAGGCCACACGGAGCAGCAACGCTCAAGCCTCTTTGGAGGGAGATTGACTAAAGCACGGGACGGGCGTCAGGTTGTGTGGCTACACGTGAGACATGCAAAGGTGGCCCGAGGAAGACGTGGAAACCCCTCGACTGTTCCACTCCGCTCTACTCTCCACAGCACGGGCTCAGAGGAGTACCATCCACGAGGGGATTGACATGACACTGCTGGGTCCTGGAAAGACCAGAGGGGACTGTGTGCATCCACGTGGGTGACACTGGGCCTCAGGGCAGTGACCAGGCGATTGCAGCCTCTACCTGCGGGAAGTCTTCGGTTTCAGAGGCCAGGTCTGCCATTCATACCCTACACGTGCTCCCCGGACATTCCTGTCAGCAACACGGTGGGCTTGTTAGAAATGAAGGTTCTAGCGAGCTCTGGTGGCCTAGTGGCAATAAATTGCATTGCAATACCAGAGGTGAGCTGTTTGAATCCACCAGATGCTCTGCTGGAGAAGGAGGGGCAATCTCCTCCTGTACCAGTCAGATCTAATTTGATGGTACACACACACACACACATCATCATCATCATCATAATAGAAATGAAGGTTCTAAAGCCACAGCCCAGAGCAAGTGGGTCAGAACAGATGGAGAAGGGGCCCCTGAAGCAGCACTTCTAAAGATCTCAGGGATATTTGCACAACAGGCTGAAAACAGAATCTCCACTTTGGATTTTAAAACCGATGTATGGAATCATACAATAAACTGAATATGGGAAGATCCATAGTGGAAACTGGAGTCTCCTCTCTGGGGCCTAAAACAGAACCTCAATATGGGATCATCCAACAAGCTCCATCTGCCTCAGCTGGGATCGAGCTAGTGACACAAATTCCTAAGCTCCACCTCTGTAACCTTGACTCAGAAGGTCTCCACTTGGGCCCAGGAATACCCAGTGTACCAGCCCCTGGGGACTGCTATGCCCAGTGAAGGTCAAGAGGCAGTGCTCACGGAGACGCAAGAGCCTTGTCAGGAGCTCTCAACCACCCAGGATGAGGTTCTGTGCCTGCAGGAGATGGTCCTGAAGGCTTAGACTAAAATGAGAACTTACAGGTTCCAGGAGAGAAGAAGTAGTAGAACAGAAAGATAGATCTTTGAATTCTTGCAGCATCAGTGACTACTTGGAACGTTAGTTTATTGGACGAGGATTCAAACACCGGAACGTTATCATTTTTACTGCAGACTTTCCCGAGCAAAGGCCCAGTGGTAGAGGCTCCATCAAAAACTTTAATGTTTTCATTTTCACAGCTTCCATCCACATCCAGCCTGTGAGAGAGAGAGCATACCGGTGGTTCAAGCAGTCATGCTGTCGGAGGAACTCTCTCAAAGGGAACTGTCACTTACAAAGCAGTGACAGATCTGATTACATTTAAACCTCAACACATCAAATGCTACCACCATTATTCCCGCCACCATCAACATCAAATCACATACCATCAACCAGTGCAGGGGAGGGGAATGGCTTGGCCAACTTCTCCTAACAAGTAAACGGTAGAGATGGGGCTAAAATCCTGGACCTTCTCTGCTTTTTTCTCTCTTCTCATCTCCCTTCTCCCTGCCACCTCACGTTTCAGAGAGAACTTTGTAACTGACATTGACCTTCCTTGGTACTTAACAGTCTTCTCCTCCTGTCATTCTGGGGGCCCAGCGGGTAGGAGTCGCGTGGCTAAGCCAGGGAAGGCATCTCTCTGGCAATTCAGGTCCACCAGGGTTTCCTCTGCATGAAAGACGGGCAGTCTCCTCCCTCGTGATTTACAGCCTCTGAAAATCCACTGGTGAATCAGCTGAATTAGTTCCAGCTCCAGACCAGTAAGTACTTTGCTTCAAGTTTTGGATTTTATTCTCTGTCTCTGTCTGTGTGTGTGTGTGTGTGTGTGTGTGTGTACCTTTGATGTCTTTTTTTCTGCTTCTTATTATTATTAATTTTAATGAAAATTTACAGAGACTTTAGATTTCCATTCATTCATTATTGCACTTTTCTCCCTGCCCTCTCCCCTTCACTCTTCTCTTTGAAAAGTAGAAGAAAAATTCCTTCATTGCTTCACAATTCCCCCACCCCCAGGTCCACTCCACTATGCAGCCCTCACCCTGGACTGGATTTTATTCTAAGGTAAAGCTTCTCCCCAGTGGCCACATCACCACTCCCTCATTTCTGTGTCATGCATTACAGATAGTCTGGAAGTTTTGTTTTCTGACCCTACACGATCTCTCCAAGTGCCCTCAATGAACAGATTTTCCAAGAGGTTTGGAGGAAAACACCCAAGAATCTAGAAAGCCTGGGTCTTTCTTCCATCTTGGTCACGTCCCTGCTGTGACTCTTTGGACTTAATCTTTCCTGACCTGTTTTCGAGCCCTCTGGTGGTGTGGTGGATTTAACGCTGGGCCATTCACTGAAAGGTTGTTATTGTTGTTCGTTCGTACAGTTGAGTTGGAGCTGACCCTCCCGCAGATTTTCAGAGGAAGTAAATAGTATGGGGGAAGTTGGCTTGTCTTCTGTGGAGCATCTGGTGGGTTCGAACCATGGACCTCTGGGTTGGCAGTGCAATCCCTTCCCACGAGGCCACCACTCACAGAGGCAGAAGATGAGGCAGTTAGCTTTAATAAGACGGCAGCTTTGGAGAGACCGTCCTGCAGCTCCACTCTCCCCGACAGGTTCGCTGTCATTGTCTCCACAGAGATGGCCTGTCAGCACAGGGCTTTGAGCACCTGCAGTGTGAAGTGACTTCTCTGCCCTTTGGGGTCCAATGTCAGGGCTGAGCCTGCCTCTGCCCCAGAGTGCTGCTGAGGGGATAGACTAGGGCAGGGCACGCTGGGACCACTGAGGCATGCTGAGAAAGAATCTAATTCTTTCAAAAGGCGAAGTTTAAAATGGTCACTTTTACCTCCTGAGATTGTGATCAAAGTGTATGCACAGCTACGGTTTGGGAATCTGGGTTTCTGGAAGCTTCTCCTGCTGCTGCTGCTGCTGCTGGTTATGTTTCTTCAAGTCAGAACCAATGCGTAGCTCGGGCAGCTTTTCAGAGGGTGTAAGCTGCACAGGAAGTGACCACTCATCTTTCTCCCATGGAGCAGCTGGTGGCTTCAAAGCACCAGCCTTTGGCTTGGCAGCACAGCTCCTTGCCCACTAGGCCACCAGAGCTCCCTCAACTCATTCTAGTGCATGAGCATAGGTAGCTCCAGTGATGAAGGTCAGTGGTTCAAATCCACCCGGATTTTATCCGTGGGAGGACGATAAGGCAGATGAGGTGGGTTCACAGCCGCGGAAACTCTAAGGGTACTTTGCTTTGTCCTGTAGGGTCACTAAGAGCCAGGACAGAGTTGATGGCAGTGGAGTTTGGGTTCGTTTTTGGAGTTTTTTGTTTGGTGACTTAGTTTAGTGTTTTAGGCCTAAAAGTTAGAACAAAGGAGAGGCAGGGAGAGAGGAAATAAAACCTAAACCTCCCTGCCATTGAGCCCCACTCACAATGACCCTCGGTTGGGTTTCTGAAGCTGTAATCTCTGCAAGAGGCTGCCAGTCTTTCTCCCAAAGAGCAGCTGTTGAACTTGAACCAGTGACCTTCAGTTGGTCTTGAAATGTTTGCACATTGCACTGCACCATCAGAGAATCTTGTAGCTTGACCATTGGAAAACTCACTGACACTGAGCTGACTCCAGCTCCCAGGGACCCTCCTCGGGGTGTCTGAGGCAGTGAGTCTGACAGGGGGAGACGCCCCATCTTTCTCCTGCTGGCTCTGAGCTGCAGAGATGAGTAGCGATGCTTATCAGCGTAATACACTACAGATGCCACCAGAACTCGGGTACTTCACTTTTCAGCTGTACGGCCTCAGGTAAGTTCTCAGCCTCTCTGTCCCTGTACTGCCAGGCCCAGCCTGGCAGGACCTCCGTGAACCAGTGCCATCAGCCACGACTGGCATCACTGTGGTCCAGCTGTCCCCCACCCCTGCTGGACCAGCCTGAGACTCCCCCTGGGGCCAGAGCTCACCTATCAGCCACCCTCGTGAAGAGCCCAGGGTTGCTACTTACTGGTAGTAGGAAAAGATGATGCGGACGCTCTTGTTCTCTGGCCTTTCTACCGTCCAGGTGCAGTTCTCATTGGAGCTGAACTGCAGGATCAGGGCTTGGTGGACCTCACTCAGGCTGGCGCCGCCCAGGCTGGCCTTGCAGCTCGATTTGCCTGGTCGAGACCAACAGGGGACACCAAGCAAAGTCAGTGTCCCTCCACCCCAGTGGCAGGGCGTCCAACGGCAGCCCCAGGGTCCAGCTGGAGCTCACAGCTCATCATGAAACAAGATTTAGCTCGCTCGAGCCAGAGCCCACTGGCTTCTCCTGAGAGTCCTACATGATGCTGGAAATGTGAACTGAGGACATGATGCTGGAAATGTGAGCCGAGGAGGATGAGCGCCCTCGGACACTGAGGCTGGACTGAGGCTGGAATCAGAATCAGGCTGCTGCTTTGTAAGAGCCCAGGAAGCAGTCTGATCCGCCCTCTCCCACTGGGATCACCCAATGCTCCCTAACAAGGACACACCAAAGGGAGCGCTGGTGGCCAGAGAGCACAGCACAGGCCCAGCGCCTCAGACCCCAAAGCCCTGCCTCGGGGCGTGTGTGTGTGTGTGTGTGTGTGTGTGTGTGTGTGTGTTTGAATCCACCAGCATCTAAGGGAAGCCAATACTAAATATTTGTAGTAAGCGGAATGCTCTTTCAGGAAGGAATTCACCCTGAGGCACTAAGGCAATCCTTAAGGGTTTACCAGATTCTTGCATTTGCTTACCCCTCCCTCCTGAGTCCAGGGGAAGGTTTTCAATAGAAAGAGCTTGGCTTCATTTGCATTGAATTCTCTTTGTGATTTACTTCCTGATAATTTTCAATAAAGATACAGGGTAGCTCAGGTCAGCCTTTCAGTCGAGAACTGCTGGCCCCCTGCTTTTCATGCTCTCCGTTCGATCTCGTTCCTGGCTGTCTGTCTCGTTATTAATAATTATAAAAATACTTTACCCTTGGTCTGCAACAAGCATCTCCATGTGACAAAGGTGGGCAAGCCTGTGTGATGTTCAGCTTTAGAACCCACTGGAAGGTCAGCTATGAGTCACCTCTAAACTGACGACAATGAGAGTTTTTGACACAATCCCTGGTAGCAATAGGGGTTAAGCATTGCACTGCTAACCAAAGGGTTGGTGGTTCAAACTACCAGCTTCCCTACAGGAGAAGGATGAGGTATTGCTGGGTTGACTCTGACTCTTGTCCACCTGAGGCCAGTAAACTGTCCGACGTGTCCCCAAGCCTGTACGGACACCAGCCACCCGTCTTCCTCTTGTGAAGCTCCTAGTGAATTTGAACCAGCAACTTTTTTTTTTTTTAACCAGCAACTTTTGCTTAGCAGTCCAACATTTAATTCACAGCACCATTAGGAATCCCGAGGTCAATTTAAGAATAATTTTTCTGCATCTCAGAGCTGTTAAGATATATGAAAGAAAATCAAGAGCCATCAACAGACATGGAAACCTTTTCAATTTCTGGCAAGGACTTCTAGAAAGGAAGTGTACCATTTTGAATAAAAAAAAAATCTCATTTCATTTTCTTACCTTCAGACTCTGTCAAATTGGATGCTGACAAACATGACGAAATTAAAAGGGCCAAAACAATGAGGCTTCTTATGATCCCCATCTTCGTAAGGAGCCGGGAAGACTCGAGGGCTAGCGGGCTTTTATACATCTGCGTCTCAGCACACTCTGCTATCAGAAGTTCCCTGCATGACCTCTGGAGAAACGTCATGTCCAGGTATATTAAGGACAGGTTTCTGTGAGAAGTTAGCAGCTGTGTGACTGGCAGGCCTCTCTGGGCTCGTGTTTGAATTCTGACCCAAACACCATGCCTAAAGCACTTCAGGGAATTCTCAACGCCTTGGACACAAGGCGGTGAAGCTCTGTCGCACACACTTTGGGTGTACTGTCAGAGGAGGGACCAGCCCTTGGAAAAGGACATCTTGCCGGGAAAGGGGGAGGGACAGAGAAGGAGAGAAAGACCTTCAGAAAATGGACTGACATAGTGACTGTGACAAGGGCATGAGCATGTCAGGGGTGAGGAGGGTGACACGGGAGGGAGCGAGCTTCAGATCTGTGGTTCACATGTCACCAGGAGACACAGTGGACTCCTAACACAGTTGACACCTAACAACAGCAATACACAGGAGGGAGCACTGGTGGCCAAGAGCCCAGCATAGGCGTAGTGCCGCGGACCCCAAAGTCCCGCGTCTCCAGGGGTCTGGGTCCATCTGAGTGTCCACAGGAGAAGGGTGTGCAATTCTGTGTGATTTCCAGCTTCAGAAACCCTCCGGAGGGTCAGCTCTGAGTTGCCTCTGACTCGATGGCAATGAGAGTTTTTGACACATTGTAGGAGCAGCCCTGGTAGCAAAAGGGGTTAAACAGGGCGCTGTTAACCAAAGCGTGGGTGGTTCAAACCTACCAGCTGCCCCACAGGAGAAAGAAGAGGCATGCTGCTTTGGTAATGAGTTACAGCTTAAAAAAACCCTAGGAGCCCATTCTAATCCGGCCAGTAGGGTCCCTCTGAGTGAGGAGTTAGTCAGCAGCTGTGAGTACACACAGGAAACACTGCAAACTCCCTCTGGGATCCACTGGGAGGTGGGCCTTTGTTCTACTGTTGGCTTCGATCATAAATGGAGTACTCACCCTGGCTCGAGCCTTAGCCCAGTTAAGCGGTTTGAATTCTCTCTATTATCAGTGGGAGCTTGTTGAGGACAATGACAGGCCTTGTTTTCAGTCTACCCAGCAGCTCTGGTGAAGATGGGACCTTTCCTTCCTGGTAGCCTTCAACGTTTGCACGTGATTTCTAACTGGCTGCAGGACTTGGGGGTTTCTTCAGGAGAGCACTCTCTGAACCGACTCAGCGAGCTCCTCTCTGTGGGCCGCTTGGTTAGATGTTCGGCCTCACGGCTGGGGCTGTAGCATGCAGGCCAGCACCCAGGACAAGAGGAAGCTGTGCCCACAAGGAGCCTGGCAACTCCCTCAGGGACTGGCCCAGCTCCCGCGGGTCCCTGCCAGCATGGAGCTTCTCATGCTGACAGGAGTGGAGGAGCGAGGGGTGCCTGTCACAGCAGGGTGCAAAGTGTGCCGTCTGCTCAGGACCTCAGCGGGATGAGGAACTCCGAAAACACATGAAGCTGAGGAACTGCAACCAGGAAGCTGCCCCCACGCCTACCCTGCCCACCTCCAGCTTCACCACCAAAGCCTTGGCCCATCTCTCAAATTGTCTTTTCAAGCTCTAACAGTTATCAAAAGGGTCTGGTTACAACCACTTGGCACAACCCTTGGGCAGTCAAACATGGGCAAAAAGTGGCTAATTGGACCTAGAATGAACGTTGTGATGCAGCTCGCACCAAAGGCCCCGCCTCCACCACATTAAGGGGAATATTTGCTGCACATGGTACGTGCGACCACTGAGCACATTCACTCTTCTCCAAAAAATCTCAACTGGGTGAATACGTAGCCTTTTCTCTTGTTGCTGAGAGGTGACTCTTTCCTTCCCTGTCCTCACAGTCTCTGTCATGTTCAAGGCCATTGTTGCAGTCATGGTATCAGTTCATCTTGTTGAGGCCGATCCTCTCTTTCAAGGGCCCTCTTTTTACCTAACAATCTCTGTTACCGTGTGCTGCCAAGTTGAATCCAACTCAGAGCTGGCCCACCAGCAGGTTCTCAGAGGCAGTAAATCACAGGAGAGGAGACTGTCCATCTTTCTCCCGCACAGCGGCCAGTGGATGTGAAGGGCATGGGTCTGGGTTGACAGTGCAGCTCCTTACCATTGGACCACCGTAAAAAACCTCCTGGCCCACCCCTCCCCAGCCTCCCTCGAGCCAGCTCAATGTGCTCAACTGCTGGCTTCTTGTTCAGGGCATGGTACCGAGTTCACTGTCTGCCTCTTGAAGAATGACATCCTTGGCTTTTCGCTCTTAATATGTGGGTGGTAACGCCAATTCTGAGCAACTTTCAAATTCGAGCAGCTCCATAGCCCACACCTGAGAAGACCTTGGTTTGACTTCACCAAGGAGCTGGATTTCTCCATGGCTTGTCTCCCTTGGGTTTGAACTGAGAATAAACAGCATTCACTCCATAGAATTTCTTTGGGATTTAATGAGATCAAGTAATTTTTAATTCAAAGTCAAACAAAGTAAAAATTGTGGTTTCTCCTTACAAGACAGTGGGGACCCGTCAAGCCCTTTCTATGTGTACCAGTCAGATCAAGTCACGGCTCTCAAAGAAAATGTTTCTACCTGGCTTCTTTTTCATTTTTTTGTTTAAGCTCAGTATACCTGTCCAAAAGTAGGTGAAGCATACATTTAAGTAAAGGAAATTTATAAGCAACAACAACAATCAAGGAGAAAAGCCACTGGAGGTAAAAAAATGCTAATTTTGAGAATTTCATAAACATTCCAAACACTTTAAACATGTTACATGGTACTTACTCAGTATTATATAGTACATAACGTCAGATACCATAGCACTTGAATAACAAAGCATTAAATATGTGATCTAGTACTCATCAAGATTATATAATACATAACATTAGATACCATAGAACTTAAGTAACAAAACATTCTACAAAGAAATATTTCTCAGGAAATTTTCATGGCCGCCATGCCCAAGTCAGAGTCCCTCGTTTTTATTACAGAAGCAGGGAGGGAGGGGGTGACATGATGAACATACATTGCACTCCTCACAGATCTGGCGGGCGATGGAAGTGTCCGAGCATGAATTCACGGACAGGTCAGCACAGGCCTTCGCAGCAGCTCTTAGGAAAAGACATACAGAGAGTGTCAGATCAGAATTTCCCCCCACACCCACCTGTGACCATCTTCAAGGGTACGTGGGAAATGAAGGGGAACCCAAGGAGGAGGCTCTGTTTCTGCTCCAAGTGGCTCTTTAACCTTTTCCTCTCCTGACGTTGTTATATACATGTAAGATCAGGATCCGGAAAACAAGGGGTGGTGAATATGTAAGCAGGCATCCCCGCTGCTGGCCCTGCAGGCTCTCCAAGAGCAAGCAGGCGTGGGAAGGGGCCACCACCTGCCAGGACCACCACCCGCCGGGGCCTGGGCTTAGAGACCTGCTGTCTTACTAACACGGCCACTCTCCCATCTCCGAAGAACCCTCGCCCCAACTTGAATTTGTTCTTGTCTGACCTACACCCTTTGCTGGGCATTCTCCAGCCATCTTCACACAACTCTGCTTTCTCAGAGGTCTGAGGGCTTGTCTCCTTCTGTCCCACGCAACCAGAGAACCCAGGCGCTCAGGCCAGAGACTGGCTCAGCCATCTCCCGAGTGGACCCGGGAGAGACTCTCTCATGTCATCCTCCTGGATGTCCTAGGGCAGGGAGGGCCAGCTCAGGTGCTGAGTTCTGCCTTCAATGTCGTTCTTACTGGTGCAGAGCTGATTCTGAGTCAAGGTGAGCTCAGTGTGCAGGGTAGAATGAGATGCACAGAGTTTCTGAGGCTGGGACCTTTGAGAAGCAGATAACCAGGCCTGTCTTTCGAGGTGCCCCTGTATGGGGTCAATTCACCAATCTCAGGGATGGTAGTTGCGCACTAAACAGCTTGTGCCATTTACAGATACTTTAAACCCTTGATAGAAAACTCAGCTTATCGTATTTTGCACATAACACATCCCTATTGGTAATACACACAACTGAGAGAACTGCACGCTTTGCAAACAGTGCAGCTGTGGTTTCTGCATGGAAAGTATTTAGTTAATTAAGCAAAGCGGTGTCTAATATGCAGACTGAAACCATTTCTCTTTATGAGGTCACAGTCCCAAACTACAACAGAACAGAGCCTAGAATCTAACCTGCCTTTACCTTTTCAAGCCTACCTTCAGTTCTTGACTTCCCTCAGGAAAACAGGCTCCCTATGGAATTCCAATCCCCCCAGGCAACACCATGTGGGGGGCGGTGGCGGGGGGGGGGAGCACAAGACACTGAAGGAACCACCTAGACAGTTTCTGTGCAGGGTTTCTACAAAAATGTATTCTTGTCATACAATCAGCTCACATGGATCAACATACACCTCCAAGACTAAAATCTATGCTAATTTACTCTTACAAGCTTCCTAAGCACTCCTCTGGTAGCCGAGCAGTTAAGAAGCTGTGCTGCAATCCCAAAGGCATGCAGTTCAAATCTACTATCTGCTCCTTGGAAGAAAGGTGAGCAATCTCCTCCCGTGTGATTTACTGCCTCTGAAAACCCCCTGGAGGGTCTGCTGTGGGTCGGTTCCAACTGGAGGGCACACAATAATGCACCCCAGCTACAGTGACACCTCAGATCCTGCAGAGAGAGACCTCTGGTGGCACAGTGAGTAGTGCTGTGTGGCTGACCAAACGCGATGGCAGCGTCTGCCCAGCTAGCTATGTGCACATGCTGTTGTTTTCCTGACTGTCCTTGCTCCTACTCGGCTGGTTTTGTCCTTTTTTCTACTGTTCTCAATACATTTGTGTTTAATAGTACTAGTGAGTTTCTATCAATAACTTCATGGAGAATTAGGAAGTAATTAAAGGATTTTTTTTAAAGAACAGACTGATGTTCAATCATGTTTATGTTATAACTAATAACATTATAATTCAACCTAGAAAGATTTAGTTATTCTTGTTATTATGTGTGT